GATATAGAGATTGATATTCTTCTGAGTTATAAATATAAAAATATCCAACAATATAAAACTGTTGAATATAAAACGAAAAGAAATTAAAACCATAGCGTACATAGTTCAATTTCAAGACCGTCACTTTTTCTTGACCTTGCTTTTGCTATATCACTTTTTATAGCTGTATACGAGGGATGTATCTAATACTTTATATTTTATTACCGACACTTTTGTAATAAAGTGTAGCACTATTTTCGCAATGTGATATAAGTTAATTAAATTCTGAACATTTTAAACTTTTTTAAACAACATTAAGGCTGATAAATCATTTACAAGTCATTGTAAAAAACTCAGAAAGCTTTGACATTATTTTGATGTATTTATTCTGCGAAATGTTAATGAAAACAATGAGTAGAGGTTGTTGATACAATATACGAGAAAGGGAAAACATTATTCTACTAGTGGAAAATCTAATACAAGTATAAAGCTTGACAGATTACTAACTGCTAATTACTAGCACTTATTTAATATTTTGTATATAGAGCGACATGTATTATTTCAAGTGTCGAAATATAATATAGTAAAGCCTAGAAGAAAACAAAATTTCTTTATTTAAAAAGTATTTTTATCTTCGTAAACCTGCAGTCGGAAAGACTTGAAGTAATATATAAAATAATAAAACGATCATTCTGAAACATGTTTCCAATGTTATGTTTCTATTTTCTTGTTCATGCATCATGCATGTCGATGTTTATTAAATGTATTTTTAAGAAATAAAATCATATATCACATGCATCCTTTTTTATTTTATTATTAACAGCAATCAAAATAGTCCTATGATCTGTTGTTGTGTAGACCTTGTGTGCTTATGTACACATGTGTCTTTTTAGAAGGCAACCAATAGTCGGTATATCTATATTTGATTTATTTATTATTAGAATTTCTGTAATATTAATAATGTATTTTCAATTTAAGACAGCAATGCCGGAGAAAAAATATTTTAAAACCGATTTTACTCTTGATTAATATAAGGCTGTCCGAGGTATGTATCGAACCTGGAAGCTTGGGTGGCAAGACAAATTTTTAGCAACATGCATGTTTTCAGGTGCATACCGAAAAAATAGTAGAAATAAACTCAAATTGTCAGAACAGACTACAGCAACTATTGGCGTATATTTATTAGCAGTTTTGAATAGAAAATAGTAATATAGATCGTTGACGAATTAGCAAATTCATCTTGTATGAAATATGTAACAAATTCATCATCTGTAGTACTCAATATCCAACTTTATAAATGAATGCTTGTACGGAACTCATAACGAGTTAAAGTACGAGGACGTCAAGCTTTACGTGATATTTTCATTCCAAATACATAAATTTGCAGCATAGCCGTGTATATCCGTCGATCTAATAACGGGCCTGAACGCATCACATCAACATCTAGCAGCACATAAAACAGCTCTTCGCGGCATGAGACACGCAGCAACCTTGAAATAATTGCAAGTTCAACGCCACCGCAACGAATCAGCTAACACACTACTAACTGATTCAACGCGAATTTCTGTGTATGCGTTCAGTTTTATACGACGGACAAATGCAACTAAACTTCGCGGCTCTTCTCTCACATTGGAAAAGGATTGTGCTTGTTCTATCGCTCTCTTCCCGTCTTGCTACCGCCTACGATCTAAAGATAGTAGACACAGAGCTCTTTTACAACCAGAGCCTGTAGTGTCAAGAGTCAAGTTCGACTCATAGTGAAATAGCCAAATGGAAGCTGCAGACTTGCCCGAACATATAATGCACTTCTAGCTGTCGCGAATGTGACGATCTAATAAATGGGAATGATGCGGATTGACGACGGATTCGTTAGCGATCCATCTGTCTTCATTCAGATAGTTAAAAAGTTTTTATCTTACAGATACACTGATAAGTTTCATAAATGCTGCGGTTTGATGTTACTTGCTACAAAAGGTTTTCAAACCATCTAAAATTATTACACTAAAAACGTAATTAACTTCATCATTATATAAAATCACCGTAGATAGGACTAATGTAACTTGTTCAAATATTCAAAAACAGAAGACTTCATAAAGGAATCAGGAACTTAGTTTTAAAGGTTTACTTTGAACTATAATTATCCGCCGACTACCATCATTCCACTAAAAACATACTAGGGTTTCTTAAGATAATAAAATTCCCATTCTATACGAATATACAAGTTAATATCCAGTGAAAAGGACATTTATAAGCATTTTTAATTTACTCAGAACACTGTTTTGATTTTTTAATATTTGAAACTGAAATTGACAATGTTGCCTTGTCATAACATTGGTCTATTTTACGCCAGAATTAGACAATCAAATTCAGAATCAAAAGTTTTGATTGAAAACTATTTCAAATAACCTATAGATATATGGAATGGATTATATAGATGGAAAAAATCAAAACCACCAATTACGAACTTTTGCCAGAGCGACCGTGATATTTCATTGCACTCTTCTTGTTTTTAAACTGCATTTATATAATGCGCGAATGCAGTTCGTTCTTGTTATTTACATAACAAGCCGCACATGACCTTTATTATTAATCACGGCAAAAATATTTAAACGCCTTTACGTAATCGCAATTTGGATGATACGAAGACAAAATAAAACAAGTTTTAAGAGAATAAGAAAAAATTAAATGTCGCAAGACGAAAGACGGCGAGAGTCAAAAGGTCCGAGAGGATATGAAGATCTATAAAATCAGTCAAAGGAAATAGCAGTCCAGACGATTGCGCTTTAATGCAAAACAATGCGGGAGGGAATGGGACACGTGCGTTGGGATTTTATATGTCTGCTGCAAAGCTCCGGTCTGCGGGATGCAATTCGTGCCGCAATCGGACAATCGTAAAAACTTCTTGAGAGTAAGTGTCGGTATTGAATTTGCACCATTGTACGCACTTGCTGTGCAAATATCTAATCACTATATAATACTCACACTGTACACTATGTATATGATGCGTGTGCTGAGAATAAAGCAATTAATAAATACATAATACGAACCGAAAGGAGTTGCTTCAGAAGAAAATTAAGGAGAGATAAAAACAAACATTATAAAAAATACGTTTTACTCTGTTCAATTAAAATCGTTAGGGTGAGTGTAATCGATTTGGCAAAGGCTTGACTTCCAGATAAAGAAGGTACTCAAATCGAATCCCAGTAAATAAATAAAATATGAAAATTCATAAAGCCTAATTGATTGATTTAACGTGGATTGTACATGAAGTTGTTAATAGAAATTGTACAATATTAGAAAAAGTAACAAGAAATGTTCTAGATGGATAAATGTCCAAATGCAAGCGAGGCAAATAAAAAAAAATTTAAAAAACCGTTCCAGAAAATAAGAGTAACGTATTATGATGCACATATATGTAACCAATAAAACAATCTACAATGATTTAAAAATGCGAAGTGTACAAAAAACTATAACTGATAGTTTCATCTGATAGTCTATCAGACTTTTAGCATCAAAACATAACAGTAAGCTAGAAAACTATCCTAACCAGTTAACAAATAATCTCTTATAACCTGGACAGAGAAGCAGGCTGAAGAGATTATGGCCACTGGACAACGCCTCATCAGACTATTTAACATCTCATCACAATATTTAACTTCCAGTAGGGTAAGTAATTGTAATGGGCCGAAAATCGTAATTGAAAATTTTTACATTTCTCGACGTTTTGAAGGTTTCTGAACGTTTTGGCATATTTCAGAAAAAATGAATGTGTGTGTGTGTATGTATGTATGGATACAATTTTTCGCCCACGTTTTCGGGCGTACGGATCAACCGATTTGAATGGTTCAAAAAACATTCGATTTCTATTGATAAGGAGATGTGCTGATTAGTTTTTGGCAAAGGCAGATCCAGCAGTTACGGAGATAAAAAGCAAAGAGTGCAGAAAATAGAAATCGAGTTTTTGAGAGAACGGAGCATCCGATTTGAATAATCTAAAAAACATTCAATCAGTAATGATTGGGAGAAGTGGTTATTAGTTTTTCGCAAAGGCAGGCCCAGACATTTCAAAGATACGAAGCTAAAAGTACAAAAAATGGCAGTTTTTGAGAGAACTAAGCGTCCGATTCAATTGATTCAAAGAACTTTCTGCTTGTCTTAACAAAATAATTGATTTTGGAAAAAAAATCAGATTTTATTTTTAATTCTGACTATAGTTCTAATATACTTTAAAAAAATAATTTCAACTTTGCAATTCAGTTTATATAATTCTTATTTGCCTTAAGGCACGATGCCACCCACCCCACTAGTTAGTTTTTAGTTTAATTTATAAAAAATCATAGATTTCTAATTGCTAATCGTATTATTTTTAGAGTTATGACTGATAAATTTTAAACCTTCTCATTATATTTAATTATTCATAAACTATTGTGAAAAAATTATTTAACTCTTGTATTCATTATAAACGATTATAAATGTCATATAGGAGATAACGACTTTTTTGAAAACGTTATACGATTTTACAAACTGATGGTAGTTATAAAGAGTTGAAAATAAATAATATTTATAACTGCATAATATAATTGATAATAAATAATATTTATGAATAATAATCCAACGATCCACAATTGCATAATTTTGCATAGTGATAATACGAGTTATGATAATTTAATATTAAAAATGATAAATAAATTCGATTTATTAAATTGTACTTTGTTGTAAACTTGGCATAAAAATAATAATAAATATAGTTTAATAAAATCAAAGATAGTTTAATAATTTAACAGTTTAAAAAATATACTGATTTTATCAGTTCCTGATATTTACGACAGAATTGGTCAATTATTATTAAATTAATAATTATTAGTATATATTATTTATTTTCATACTAAATGCTACCATCAGTTTACTTTATTATTTCATACATATTATTTCTCCACTAACCTTTGATAGTAGCTCCGCCTGTACTCCGGTTTCGGCATTGCATCGTGTTTCTCGGGGCGACCGAAGCGTTCCCAAGCTGCTGCTGATCATTGCCACCGACGTGCGGTGTTAGTAGTTTCCCCGCGAGCAACGGGTTTGCATTCGCGATCGCGCCGGAGCCGTATTTCAAACCGTTCGCGCAATTGGCTATCGTTTGCCGTAAGATAGAGCCGGTTCCCGAAGGCGCTGTTTTATGACCGTTGATCAACAACGGATTATGAGGATTTTGTTGCTGAGATTGTTGTATATGTCCGTTATTGTTATTAGTATTAGCACTATTATTATTGTTGTTGCTCATCAACCCATTGCTGTGATGGTTGTTGTTGTGATGATGTTGATCCAAATTCACACAATGGGAGTTTTGTGGAGCCTGGTGATGGTGGTGTTCGGACATCTGGTGATTTTGACCAGTGATGTTATTATTTTCCTCCTGAAATGTAAAAATTTGATAAACACTTGTTCAATTGCACTTTTCAATAAATATAATCAAATTCAAAAACAAAGACAGATTTATTTTGGTATATACACATGTACAAATTGGGGCACAACTAGTGTAACCGCCTAAAATAAATGTGATTTTTGGAAATTTATATTGAAAAAAACTACTTTATCAATCATTTCAAAATTTAAGGAATATATTTATACATGTTTTAAAAATACATAGTAAAATTTTCGAAGAAAAAAATTAAATATTTTTTAAGTTATCGTCGATCTCGAATGGCGCGACAAAAAAAGGCCCTTCACTGCTGCAGTAGTGATTCCGGCCTTCTACGTGGATGAAATTTTTTAAAAAAAAATCTCGATAAACTGGATAATATTGTCTGTAAAATGAACTACGATAAAGAAAAAAAAATCAAAAATTGACAAAATGACGGCGTTTTTTAAAAAAAAGTCGACATTTACGCAAAATTTTGGTCGTTTTTCGACTGCTAAAAATCGATTTTTGATCCGATCAAAAAATCGATAGTTCATTTCACGGAGAACTATATATAGAACATGTAAAAAAAAAATCGATAGTGATCGGATCATTTGTTTTTGAGTAATCACTGCAGCAAATTCAGAAAATGCTGTTTCGAGAAAAACGCGTTTAAAGATAAAATGATCGTTATACTATTAGATATACTCTTTAAATGGCTGTAACTCAAAAACTATTTAAGATATCGATTTAAAATTTTGGTATGTTATTTTTAAAGGTATAAGCTATCGAAATATGGAAAAATTGAAAATTCGATTTTTTGAAAATTTCACACTAGTTTTGCCCCTTAAAATAATTTTAGTTGGATTTTATTATCATTTATAAAATTTTTTTTTTAATAAGTACCTTAATTTCAGTGGCCGTGAACTCCGTAAAAAAATGATCAAGTTCAAATGCAGAATCGCCAAGTTGGCGAAATATATCATCGCCATCATCAAGTGGTCCCAATAACTCGCATGCCCCCATTTCTGCATTGGGTTGATTTGGGACTGCCCCTTCCTAAAATCATCAATCACATAGCATTTTAAAAAACATCTAATTGGCCAAAACATTTAAATTTTGTTGGTAGAAAATTGAGAATTTACTCTTCATAAGGATATTGGAAGAGTTTGATTATTTCATACGAAAGATTGGAAGACTATTATTATTTCATACGTACCTGTAGACAGGAAGATAAATCAACCATGCGACCATCGTTGTCAGGACACCATAGCAGATCATCGTCGATAAAGGGCATAGCCACATTTGGCACGGGCGCCCCTAAAACGCGCGCACCCGCCAGTGTGTAGCCTTTGTTTACACCACGTTCAATAATTTGGGGTTAGGGGGCACACAGGCCGCGATAAATATTCCAAAAATATAATAAAAAATTTCACGTTCAATAGAATTAATATAAAATTTTAAAAATTTTGTTTCTTATTAAAATGTTCATGGTTTTAAAATCCTAATTTTTATAACTAACGTGACTAATAATTTAGTTACTTATTAAATATTTTATTTACCAACAGCTCTAAAATTTTCATAAATTTAAAAAATAATTTAAAAAACGTTTTTAATTAAGGAAGACGCACAAAATTTACCTAAATATATAAAACTCTTTAATAATTTATATCTATAAATATACAATAAAAATATTATTAATTTCGTTCAAAATATGTAAATTTTAATTTTATTTATTAAATATATTATCTATAAAAATATGAGATTCTTAAAAATATCTATAATAATAACTTTTTACTATGTTTTATTTTATATAATTTGTTTATTTGTATAATTAACGCATTAATCAGTCAGATACTAAAAATAAGTTGTATTCTATGTTAATGTATTAGTATAAGAAATATAAATCATTGATATATGTTTTTGTAAATTAAGTAAATTCATCGCAAGGCACACCGATATTTATGAAACTCTCGTTTAAGTACTTATGTGGTCGCTTATGTAAACAATATATCAAATGAATATTACAATTGTTAATAAGTATATTTGTATCAAATGTTGGCGAAGTTATCGGTTAATTTAAATAAATAATACATAATTATAAATAAGTTTTAAATCATTAACTCTGTGGCTACCCTATCCCATATACGGACGATTTCAATAATGATCTAGAAAAATAAATTAATTATGCATACTTGATAGATATGTAGTAAAATATAATATTTTTATATTCTCACCTTGCTATGTCACGACAAATGTCAAACAGTCGCCAAATCATGGGGATAGCACCTGGAAATAAAGAAAAATATATTAAAACTTTGTTCAAAGTATGCATTAAACAATTCTGTAAAAAATAATTTTTCTGATAGGAATGTAGTAAAGACTGTCTTTGAAAGTGATTTGTGAGATGTGTTATTTCGAAAGCAAAAGTCTATCTAGCTGCATAAAAAAACAACTTTAATATAATCATAACACCGCTATCATAACTTAAGTAAATTTACTCTTACGTCTTATCAGAGTAATGATTTATACTCGTAATGTACGAGTCGTACATTTCAATTCAAGATTAATTTCAATTAGTGAATATAATCAAAATAAAAATGTTATTTTAATACAATAATATACTATCTCATTTTTATAATATTAAAAAAATAGTACTATTGTTCTGCACTATGAAACATTATTATTTATTATCTGGAGACTGATTACCCATACTAAATTCGTGACTGTTTCTTCGTCAAATTATAGATTGATTGCATTCGTGAGTTATTAGATATTTGAATTTCCGATTCGATTTGCATTTAGTTATCGATGGTGGTGCCTTGCACCAGACCAACGTGTTATATTTACTTTCTCCTCCAACTCCTTGCAATAATAAGTATCATAAAATAAAATTAAAGCAGTAAAAATTTTGCCAACTAGGGATGAATAATTTTAGTAAGATAAGAAGTATCTGCCGCCAATTTATTGACATAGAGATTGAATAAATCTAAAAAAAATTGCTTAGGAGTAAAACTTTTTAATTTACTACCGCTTCATATTAACTCTCATGCGAAAGTGCGCAGTTAGATGAAATTCTTTATAAAATGCTAGTTCAAATTATTTATTTCTGGACGCTTAAATATTTTGATAAAATTACGTTTTGAATTATGTTTCGTTCATTAGTTAATGCTTCACAGGCAAATCCTCCTATGGAAAGCGGTCAGAGATTCCAATAATAAATAGGCTTATGAGCATTAACTAGACGTATATTTTCGGAATATTAACGGGGAATGTTATGTTATAAATTTACTTATTTTTTTAATCCAGATTTGTCTACAGAACCATATGTTCTAAAAAAATTTGAAAACTTATTTTTTTCAATACCCTTAAGTACATATCATATACTTAAGCGTATATGTTTTATCATAAAACTAGATGCACACATTTAGAGAATTAGAATCTCTTTCATTTACAATGAATTATGTTTCATAAAACTTTTATGAAACATAATTGATTGTAAATGAGAGAGATTCTAATTCTCTAAATGTGTGCATCTAGTCCGATTCGTAATATTAAGTATATGAAGCATATGGAGTGCTAGCAAAATATATAACGAATTGCCAAACGATATTAAGATGACCAATGATGAGGATAAATTAAAAAAAAAAATAAAGAAATACTACAAAGATTACTGAAGAGTTATATATAAAGATATTTTAATTACAATAGATATTATATTAATGAAATAGTCAAATGAAATGTATATATAAAATATGAAAACTGTTTTTCATAATCTCTCACACCAGGCACCTCTGTCTGACTGAGTATGAAAATAATGTATATATAAAAAAAGTATATATTATTGTGTAGTACTATTTGACAATAGCATATCTATTTCAAGAAAGAAAATCCATTGAACCTAATAATGCTTGAGTTCTGAATGTGCATTTCTACAGCTTTGTTATACTTAAGTTTTGCTATTTCTAATGTGCATCGAATGCAACTAACACTCATACTATAGCGTGATTGTATAACCAAGCAATCGCCAACCGCGCTTCGCACTTTCTCCGCTCTCGCTGTGTGAGAGTGAAAGTGGCGCTGCCTTCCTAGTGTTCGTGTCTAACGCAAAATAGCGTGGTATTAGTAATCACTATGCAGTTGCAATGCTAGAAGATTATGTAATTTTATAGATCCACTTTAATAATATTAAAATTCAGGCATAAATGAACTCTATATCCCATACCAAGCTAGCCCAAAACTTTCGTAAAACAAAATTTAGAGACCGATTCTGCTGCATAACAGACCAATGTTATGGCAGAAGAACTTTCCATACAAGTTCGTTCTATTTCGTTCGTAAATTTTGACAAAAGCCATGTGGTTGCTATGCAGTCAGGCGATTTTCTCAGGCTGTCGGATAGAAAACATAACCTAGCACAAATGTCAAAAAAACTGTGTTAGATAACAGGGTTTTTCTGACTCGGGTTCATAACATACGAATAACGTTGCCGTTTGTGAGTAAAACGTCTGAATGCACAGCAAATACATGACATTTTGACAGTACTCAGTATGATACAGTAGCATAATGTATGAAAGTTGGAGCATAACATGGCCTGGCCATAACATTTGTCTGTTATGCCATTAATCTTTTCATTTTTTTTATATAAGTCTTACTCAATTGTATTTTTTTCTACTTATAATAATTTATCTACATATATATAAAAATAAGTCGGGTTTTCCTTCCTGACGATATAACTCCAGAACGCACGAACCGATTTCGACTATTTTGCATTCGTTGGGAAGGTCCCCGCAAGTTTTACAGCTAAGAAAATTAGTGGTGCATGGAATCGTGCCTAAATGCAAATTGCTGGAACTTTACGCACCGTAATTAAAAATTTGAGTAATGACATTAGTGAGAATTATCAGAATTATGCTTGGTTAAGGCAACAAGCAATTCTCGCCGCAAAGAATAATGATGAACACGCACTGAATTTCACCATTCTATCAAAAATTGATAGACTGGCGACTTGGTGACATACCAATGATTCCGGCTAGCCTTTCGTTTGACTTCCGTTCGCAATGACAATTAACAAGTCGCAATGCCAATCGCTTAGTGTTTGCGGGATAAATTTCAAATAGATTATTTAGAAAATCATTGTTTTTCACATAGGCAGTTATACGTTGCCTGTTCACGAGTTGGAAAACCATACGCTTTGTTTGTGTTAACGTCAGACCAAAAAACAAAGAATGTGGTTTACCAAAGAGCACTTCAATGAAACGGATAATTTGCGGATTCACTTTCATTTACTTAGAGAAGTTCAACTAAAAAACACTTCATTTGTGTAATCGAAATAAATTCATTACTGTTGTGTATTAAAATCAAATTTTTAAAACGAAACCATGGTGGCGAGACAGAGTTCGTCAGGTTTGCTAGTTTAATATAATTTCTTTATATTTACTAGATGTCTAGTAAGGATGACTATATATTATATGATAAATTAAAACAAAACTGATATCACTAAAATAATGCTAAAATATTGAACGTTCGTTGTTAATCTTATATCTAACAATCTTGATAGATAATCAACCTATTAAATAGTGCACCAGTAGTGGAATGATCTACAATATCACTTTTCACATCTTAAGAAATGAGAAATTATTAGGACTTCAGTAATATAATGCAATAACGCAGCAGATACTATTTGTTGTTAAAAATGTTGAAATTTGTATGAATAAGTTATAGAAGAACCAAATTGCACAGTGTTGATAAGTAACTTAAAACTTAGAAAAAAAAAAATAGGGAATTTCTGAATTGTTTAATTAAGTAAGTTAAGTCATTTTGTGTTATTTCTCATTCTTATTATCTGCCAAAACAAGATTTTCAATATTCTTAATAATGTTTTAAAGACAAATTTTTACTATCGTTTACAAAAATAAACATATAGATATTTTTTATTTTGTAATATTCCTTGAACCCAACTTTTATAACACTAGTTTCATAAATTATATTTGCTAGATTATATCTGTAACAAAATTTTATCATGTGAGTTAAGTAATTTTGTGTTATTTCTCTATTTTTTTTCAAGTAAGTTAAGTAATTTTGCATTTTTTCCCTTTTCTCATTATCTGCCTAAATTTTACCATCGTTTTTAAGAATAAAAATTAAGATTTCTGTAATTTTATAACTATTACCAATAAGCTGAAGATAAAAAATTCCATCCCATGGACCTAACTTTTCTCTCCATTGCCTTCACAATCATCGCAGTGAAATGTTTCCAGCACTATGATCGTGCAGCGCGATATACTGCACCATGGTGCATTCGCAATTCGCGATGAGGCCAATGAACGCCCTCAGCATCGTCCAAGGGGGGCATACGACCTGTTGCAAAAACCGAGTGCACCGCCTCGAAGTGCAATGCACCGCTGGTGCATACAAACACAACTTCTTCATGCACACGTTCATATTTTAAGCACACAGGTTTGCTATCGAAAACTCTCTCTGGCAGTGAGTTACGCGATGCGACGATGACCGAAGAAATGTTGCTAGATAAGAAAAGTTATCGCATTGGAACACGGTGTTCGTCGTTGGCTGCGGTAAAAGTTGTTGAATCATAATAGACGAAATATTCTAAAATGCTGAATATATGTCTGATATTGCAGAAGATGTATAGAATAAATCATCTCATCGAAGTGTGGTTAGTTCAAAAAAAAACGAAAAATTATTAAGTAACCTTGTTAAAACAAGATATTATCGTGGCTTTGACCACAACACTTTATTAAAAGAATTCGGTATACCTTCTCTTGCCACACGTGAATTTATCTGTACTATTATGTTCTTATTTAAGCTTTGCAATAATGCTATAGACTGTTCTATCTACGCGTTCACAATTATTTTTCAATTATCCTACTCCTAAATCTAATTCTCTCTTAAATTCGCCTATTCTACTTATGTCCTCTAACTTTAACTTAATTAATAATGAAATAGATATTCATAACACTTCACCTGATCAGATAATCTCCATCTGCTCAAGTTTACCTTTTTATTTTATTTTCAAATATTTTTCGTTGTTTTATCTTATTATGTAAATAAATAATATTGTTGCATTCTGTATTATATGTAATTTTATGTTGAGCGCATTATTAATTTTACTATATATTGTAATATTGTAATTTTGTATATTGTTAATGTTATCCATAATGTAAAATAATTGTATATTTAAGTCCTCTTGGAAGAAATCTGTGGGCTTTCTATTTAAAAAAATAAATAAATAAATAAATATTAAAACTTTATATACTTGCAACTGAAATATAAAAAACAATCAACGCGATTCTCAACCAATAGTTCTTTCAAATAGTTTTTGAGTTTTTACAATTAACCCTTTCCACTCGCGCATTGCAAAACTTGTATATATTTTGTCGCCGGAGCGGCGGCTCCCGGGTGGAAAGGGCGGACAATATTGTAGGCTAAAAATTGGATAAAAATTTTTATACTTTTCTGCTAATTACAAAAAAATGGCTTGTCCGATCGTCGCACAAAACTGACAAACTAGTCCTTATCCAGATAAATCGAATGGCTTTTCATTTTTTGAAATCAGTCCCCTCGTTTTTGAGGAAACTTCGAGAAAACTTCAAAAATCGGCTCACATACATACATTTTCCAAAATTGTTTTTTTTTTATTCAGGATGAATTGGAATGTCGAAAATATCAAAATTATAATAGAATAAATCAGCAAATCAGATTTTTTCGCAGAAACATAATCTTTACTTCGAGAAGTTAAAAATTGATTATGAAAAAATGAAAATTTCATATCGTTTTATGATATTTCAATGTAAAAGTTGTAAATTCGATTACATTATAGTAATTTAAATTAGTTTGTTTACAAAAATATGAACTTACTTATCAGTGGCATCCTTGTTTCAAAAATTCTAGAATTTATCCACAAACACAAGCTAACAATAAATATTCTCACTATTTGAATACACAACTAATTATCAAATAAATGAAAAAACTACTACTTTTGAACCAAATTTATTAAATTTCTATCCTCTCCACAAAATTTGCACAACTGTCAAAATGAAATCTCAAGAACCACAGGTGAACAACTGAAGAAAAAAATATTTTAGGAGAGGAAGAAAGGATGACAACATAATGTTTCCAAAAAAATCTAATTACCACCACAATAATAATAATGTAAAAACAAGAAAATTTAAAATTCAATTTTTTGCTATATAATAAAATCAATAAATGCAAAAAAATATCTTAATAAGTGGTAACAATAAATTTAAATACAAAGGATAAAGATTATGAAAATGTTTAAATTGCAAATATTATAATGATCAAAATAATGATATAATCAGATTTTGTGATCAATCTAATCTAACTAAAGAATTATTACTCGAAACAAAATTTATTTTGTTATTTTGTATCAGTTATATTGAACTAAATAAGAATAGTAATTAATTTTTCTTCAAATTCGTAAACTGTCAAATTTCCCGCGTTGCAAAATAATATCGATAAGAAATTTTTAACAGTAGATACAAGCAATGATAAATAATCAATTTTAGTATTTTTTAAGTTTAAATTATGATTAAATTATACAATTTAATATTATTTAAAATTATGTAATTATACAATTCAATATTAAAAATACAATTCAAGTATCATTCAAATTACCGCATTGAAAGTAGTTCGTTTAGGCGCCGCAAGTTGCCAACTTGCAAGTTGACAAATGTCAACGACAAAACAAAAACGTTGACAAGCCGCTAGGTTCTTGTGTTAAGTTTATCAAGTTAAATACTGTGTTTATATTAGTGTCAGTGCTTTAAAATTATATAAAAAATCAAAGAAAATATCATAATGTCAGATAAATCAAATAAAAGCGATGACAAATCAAAAAAACGAGACGATTCTCAAAAAGCTGGTCCATCAAAACCCTACGACCCAGCATTAGATGTAACAAGTAAACATTTTGATCCGCTAAAAGCTTTACGTTCTGATGACGTTATTTTACCGGTGCCAAATGCTCGTGCTTTTGATAATATCGCAAAATTTGAAAGTATGTATAAAAAATTCGACTTTACGAAAATGTCAATAAGTGAGGTTAAGTCGAAGCCGGTGAAAAAAGAGGAGCCATCTAACATTTCGTTTGCAAGTGTTCGGCGATTTTTACCGCATCAAGGTTTGGATACACACTTTACCTGCATGATAAAACTTTATTACAGCCTTTTATAAGCTTTATCTTACCTTTTAACCCCTAAAAGTGTTTTTTTACCTTATACCCCATCCAAACCTCAATTAACATGAACCATGCAATAGTATCAGTCACTGCTGCCATCTTAATAAAAAAAAATCATATCAATTAATAAATGCAGTTATTATTTTACTTTAATTATTCTGTAGCATAAATATATCTATATAATCGCAAAAATAAATATAGCAATATTTTGATACTATATATATTTTTATATATACTTTTTTTATTACCAGAACCGGTGAGAGCTGAACCCCGAAAGGAAAAATCTAATATGCTTAAAAAAATGAAAGAACCAATAGCAGGACCTTTAGATGCCCTCCGGAAATGTTTACAACCTGGTGCAACAATAACGGTAAGTCTTTTATATATTATCGATCATCTTCACGGAATAAAATAATTCATTGTAATTTAATTTATTGTACGATTTTAGTAGATGAGCTATTAATAGTTAAGTAATCGATAATGGTAATTAAATTTATAAATAATTTACAATAAAATTTCAATTGATCGTACAGCAATTAGGTAGACATTTTTACAGTTTTTACCACCAAGACACAAGCATAACATAGCGTTGCCATAACAACGCTATCTTATCGTCTATGTTACGGCAGAATTGGCTCATTTTAATCTTACTGAATCACATGATGCTCACCGATCAACATAATTATAAACAAAATTCTTTTATAAATTCAAACACATTATATCTGAAATCTAAATAATATTTTATTATTAATCAAATCATTAAAATTTATAATTCAGTTGCTCATGAGCATTCATTGGAACCTTAAGCGGCGTATAAAACTCAACAGTAAATGTTGTTCGCTGACATTGACCATTATTGATGATCCATGGTAATTTGTTTGTTTTTAATGGCTTAAAACCAACATATTTTTGCGATTAAAACATTTCAATTTATAAGTAGTTCTTACTCATTACTATAATTTATTATGCGTATACCTTTATACACGTTTTTCATATTTTATTTCGAGCTTCATCTCAAACTAACAATCAGTAGTAAAAGAATCAGTCGAATATAATTTTTTCATTTAATTTTAAATAACACTCAATGATATTTTCTATGACTTATTCTCCAAACAATTTATTCACCAGCAGACAAGTAAGCAATTCAAAATATAATATTCGAATCATATTTATTAAAAAACGGAAAAAAAATTTGGCGGTCGAACGAAGCGAAAGTGCTTATATAACCGGTTATTAATTCTGAAAAAATATTAACAGCATTATCATGCCTTGTTTTAAATTTATAATTAGCCATGAGATCATAATGAGCAGTAGAGGGAAAAAATATTCATGGCAAAGTAATTAACAAAAAAAATATTTTCAAATTATTCTCATTAGTTCTTATCATAAATTTGTTAGTATATATTCAAGATCATCAGCATATCACAGACAGTTAATACTGAAAATGACAAAGAAAGGGCTTAAACTTTCTTAAATTCTCAAAGTTGATTCTATTCAGATTTCTTTATACAAAAGCTTTATAGAGTAGTTAATTCTTTACAGAACTTTAGAGCATATTTTCATCATTAAATTATAAATATCGTCTTGTAAATTATCATTTAAAAATATCATTATTGTGCATTTTGAATAATTTATACATCACATGCAATATTCGTTCCAATGCCAGAAAGCTTGTCGCCGCATAAATGCCATTTGTCGCACCTTGAAAGGATTATAAATTGCTATGCAAAAATAACAACTGAATTAGCGGTTTATACAAGCATTTATTATAATTTGATATTTTAAAATATCGATTTTCTTCTCCAAGAACATAAAATAAGGGAATTATAATAATATTGTTTCATCTAAATACATTAATAAATTATTTTTGAATATCAGATGGTTTGGAAAATGTAAGTTATTATCCTTGAAAAGTGTGTACTGCAAAATTTTCAAAGAATTTGCATTTTATTGAGGGTTAAAATACACGGTGAACGGTGTATTTTATCTCTTTTGGTATGAAAAAATGTTTTTTAGTAGCATGCAATTTTTTTGTAAAATTTAACTGATGACAATAAAACCCTTTTCTAAAACCATAATCCTAAAGAACTATGCATTCCCCATCGAAGTATTCTTAATAATTTTATGCCTGTACGCACGTCATAAGCCAATAAAATGTTTGTGCGCACAACAGATAATTGCACGGTTCTGAATTGCAGGCAATAAAATACAACCCTTCGACTTTGACAAATTGGCATAAATGGAAAAATATAAACGCAAACCATGCTGTAAATATAATTGGTTAATAGTGCTTTAAAATAAGCTAAATTAGCACTATAAAAAAGATGTTTCAAATGCAATTCGGCAAAATCCTGACGACTGGCTTAACTATTTTCCATATTACTTCATTTCTAGAAATTAAGCACAAAAAGTGCGCCAAATTTAACTCTTTCCACTCGGATGCCGTGTCTCCGGCGGCAAAATTCATATAAATCCAATTGAGTGGAAAGGATTAAACACGTAAAGGAATGTGATAGGGCTTGTTTATGGTATTTACGAAGTATATACCAACTCTCTCTTGTAATAATTAAATATGATCTCACCCAAAGCTCAAATCCTCTCTTATACCATCACTCGCTTATTATAAGATGAGATAGAAAAAGAAAAGAATTCCGGGAATACAGGATAATTATACTCTTATAAAATGCTGTATACTTTTATAAAATTATTTGATCTGATAACGCATCGTTGGTAGTGTAGAGATAAGAGCCCCGGCCTTGCAACCGCAAGGTTTCCAGTTCAAATTCAACCTTATGTACAACCTGAACAAGCAGCAGTGATATCTGTTTTCAATTGAAGATATATTTTATACATACATATAAAATGTTTCTAAGTGAATTTAGTCTTTCGGGGCTTTGCTGCAATATATAACATCACAATTAGAAGTATGAAAACATTTTCTGATGACAAAGAGAAAAGATTTTTTTTATATATGAACAGCAACTAGAACTTCTACTAGTCATATATCCTTATTTTGATGAATTTTTAATAATTTATTATTTTATTATTTATTATTTTTAGAATGAAACCCAACGGTTGGCTTTAATATGTTTAATTTATTTTATTATATTATTATTTACTTTTTTTACCATCAATTCTATTTTTACTGGGAAGCATGTTGCTATCTACATTTCAAAGTGAAACCACTACTGCTTGACATCAAGCTGACAGAGGCTGGTTTCTCTGATTCAAGCGCATAGCTTAACTACTAAGCCTTGGAAAAATCTGGTTATGAGTGAAAAGATAATAACAGAACTAAAGTAAGATAGAAAAAATTACATGACAACAGATCATAAAACACTGAAAATAGATCTGTTTTCTATTTCAAATAATAATAATAGAAGCAGATGAAGGAACAATCTAATCCAAGAATAATAGTTCTAATTTTCTCGAATAGCTCATTACAATATTTTAAGTAACTGGAAAACCATATTCAGAAAATTAGAATCACAGTAATTATTTCTCATTGAAAGAATCTTGCCAAATTTAAATATGCGATAGATTGTCATAATTATTTAAAATTAATATACTTTATTATTAATATGACGGCCTTGAGTAAAGGTCGGGCACAATGCTCGGCCGCCCGCTGAGACAACCGTAATAGTAAAAGGATTGCTTAACTCAACAACACAGAACTCTGGCAGGTCAACTGGCCTGGGTACCGCTACACATCGCGCAAACACAGAATACGTAAGCCAGAGGCGGGTAACCGAAAGAATAAATCGACAGGGACGAGGGTGACAGAATAGACATTTATTGAAGACTAAAGACACAACTTATAATAAAGAAACTGAAACTAATATTATTTCATGTCAGGACAATATATCTGAAATCGCATAAATTATATTCCAACTATGTATTCAATAGTATTTATTTTTGTTAACGACAAAAATTCTTCAA